TTACTTTCATTCTTGTATTGGTCTTTTCCTAAGTGTTATACTTTAACATTTTAGTAGCAAGTTTTTGTTAAATTCATACCATGTGCATACACTCAAGAAGCACTTGTTTCAGCCCCAATCATTCCCGTTGCACCATTTCCGTGTGTAATTTCCGTTGAATTTGCAAATTTACTCCCAATCAATCAAAAGAAAAGAAGTCTCACTTCAAAAATAATTATACTTTCTGCGTTGCCGGAGAAAATGTGCGGAACTTCTTTCTGCGTAGGCGGCCTTCGGCCGCGCGTAGGGATCATAACCCTTACAATGCAGAATTCTCCTTTCTGTGTTACCGGAGAAGAGGGGTGGAACTTCTCTCTGTGTAGGCGGCCTTCGGCCACGCTTTGGAATTATAATCCTTACTACGCGGATTTATCCTTTCTGTGTTTGCCGGAGAACAGAAGACCTTATTTGAATTAAATACGATAGGTGTAAGGTTTTCACTTTCTTGTAAATGCATTTAGATTTTTATGTTAACTGAGTTCTTAAACCTCAAGAGCAGATCATAATAAAATATTTGTACAAAATGAAAGGTAATAACTTGTACTTTCTAATTAATATACATTTCTTTAGCATTAATCACGTAATTTTTTCAAAAATTTTTTTTATGAAAACTACGACATTTTTGCATTTTTTAGAATTTTTGGTTTTTAAATATAAAAAACTAGCCGGCCGCGGATGCGCGAGGCTTCGCCACATATGCATATGTATGCACATTTACGTATTTGGAGAAATGAATATGTCATCATGTACTCCGTTTATTATATACATAAAAAATCTTGTCTAAATCCATTCTGTAGCATGGTTAAAATATCTCGCCTTTGCTTTATACTATGTATAGAAGAAATTAATTTTAAATAGGTGGCAACCCTACTCAAAAAACTTTTTGCACATGCGAGGGCCATGCACTATCATTTGGTATCTCATTTTTTTATCCAACGAACGGTGAAGATCTTATAGTTTTTAAACAGGTGGCAACCCTACTCTGAAAAATAATACATTATTACACATCCAGAGGCTAAGTCTTTTCACTAATGCCTACGCTTATTAGAATTGAATATATTAATTTTCTTAACAGGTGGCAACCCTATTAAAATTCTAAATTAAAAAGGTCGCTCTCCTATCGATACAGAATATATTAGAGAAAATCTCGTCAAAATCCGTTCAGTAGTTCTCGAGATTACCGCGTACAAAGAATCTCGACTTTCCTTTATACCATATATGTAATACTTCTATATTGATAGTAAGCTAACATCTCAATGTGTGATACCATGTCCCCACCAAAAAGTTAACCATCTCAAATCGAACTTAACCACCTCACTAACTATTGCTGTCCACACTGCGGTTTAAGGTTTATAAAACAGTACAAATGTAAAGAACAGTGTTCGGACTTCCAAAAATCGATTCAGGACTAAATTCCCGCAAAAATCGGAGCAAAAACAAAATTTCCGTACTAGATTGAATTTTTGTTTCTGACATTAATTGTTTGACTAAAATATTTTCTATTCCTGCAAAATAAGTACGCGAGACAATGTAAGGATATGTTACAATTTAGGTAATTTTTAGCATTTTCTATATAGTAGAACGTATCTAACACTTAGTTTTTAAAAAAGCAAACCTTTTCTACTTTATATAAATTTCATTTTACATATATTTTTTAAAAACTTAAGTAAAGTTCTGCATCCGCCAATTTGTACAGCCATACATCAAAAAATAACGAAGTTACTTTATTGGCTCATTGCTATGAAAAAGTTGCTTTTTAACAGTGAGATTTGGCTAACTTTCAATTTTTTTACTGAAACCGGTGGTGAACACTCAAAAAACGGCCCCAAGAGGGGCATAACATGAATGAAAAAACGGAATAGATTTGAAGTCAAGCGGAGTAGAGGACTTGATTTCAAATTTTTTTAAAAACCGGAGTAAATCTAATCTGATTTTAGCTGAGTCCAAACACTAGTAGGGAACGAGTTCTTTACATTTTAACGCTAATGACCCACAGATGGCGGGAAAACACAGGGTTGTATCAGACTCTCGACGTGGTTTCGAGTTGGTTAGATTTTAACCATCTCAGTGAAATGGTTAAGTGATGTCATTTTTATATGGCGAAACTACGCTAAATGAAGTGGGTTATCGGGATAACCAACTCAACAGCCATAACTACGTGGTTAGCTCCGGTGGGGACATGGTATAAGCATTCCGAAATTAAAGCGAGACAGTCTAGTACTGTTTTTGTCAATGTATTATGTACTTGAGTGCCGGTTTTGTAAATATGTCGTGTACATGTTTATTTATAAACGTATGTGTTCCTTTTCTTTCCTACGTGTTTATTGATATATCTGTACTGTAGTGTTTTCGGACGGTACTAGCTCTTACTGCCAATATAGGAGTATTACATATATGCTTTATACCTACCATGCATAGATGTACATTAGGAATGTTAATCCCAGGATCCCGGACTTTTTAAGGTCTCGAAAATCCCGGGATTTTTGGCAAGTAAACCCGGGACTTTCGGGATTTGTAATTTGCACTGATAGCAACTATAAAAACTCCTTTTCTTGACCAGTATTGGCTATATTTATTTTTTTATATAATAATTAATATTTTTTATAAATGTGTAGCTCATTATACATATAACACCGCGCGATAGTAAATTTGAAATACAAATATCAATATATTCGCAAAACCATGGGCTAAATATAGTAAAATTGCGGTTTTAGTTCTTCACGTCAGTAATTTAAAAATTATTTACAAAATTCAGACAAATGTGCTTAGAGAAGAAGTATGGGTAGTGTGACCAACTGTACGTAAATGACACGTACAGTACGTAAATTTGTAGCCATGTACCGTGTACCGAAGCTAACCACAAAATCACGAAAATGTACGTAAATTGAATCGAAGAAATATTGCTGTACGTAAATTTTATCGATAGGAGCGCCCAACATACATACGAACATGCAAATTTTGACTAATAAAAACTAAAAATATTATAGTGAATCAGTTGATGGAAAGTGAAACAACTCATTAAAAAATCGTCAAAATGACGATAAAATCCCCAACACTGGCAACGCTGTCTGCTGAAAACTTTATTTGTGTTTTTCTTGTGTCCGTTAAGGGTGGGTAACTCAGCAAATTTATAGGAGTTGACTCAATGACTCCAACTCACTTTAGGGAGTCAGTTCATTCAACTAAAGGTCTGATTATGCATACTGCGCATAACTTCGCACAACCATTTGTACCAGTGCAATAAAAATGTAACTTAAGAAAATGTGAAGCAAAATCTAAACTAAACAGATCGCTAAGTTTTTAAAAATTCCGTTAGTTTTAACAATTGATAATTTTTCACTGCAGGGAGGTCATGAGCTATCTGTGTGAAAACTTCCATGCAAATCAGTTCACTCATTTCCGCGTATTAATTAAATTAAACATTTCTAACAGGTGGCAGTTCTTAAAAAGAGTAGCCTACTTTCTAACCTAGGTCATAAGCTATCTGCTTGCAAAATTTCATGCAAATCCATTCAGTCGTTTCCGCGTATTAATTTAAAGAAACTTTTTTAACAGGTGGCAACTCTTATGAAAAGTAGCCTATTTTCCACTGTAGGTCATAAGCTATCTGTGTGCAAATTTTCATGGAAATCCATTCAGTCGTTCCCTCATATTAAACAAATTCAACTTTTTTAACAGGTGGCAACTATCTGTGTACAAAATCTCATGCAAATCCGTTTAGTCGTTTCCGCGTGATGATTTCCCAAACATCCAAACATACAAACTTCCACATTCATAATATTAGTAAGATATTTAATTATTTTTTTCGACAACTAGGCATATTAAATAAACCTCATTCAAAAATCGATTGACCTTATCTGTAAATATTAAATCTAAAGCTAAATGTGGGCAAATTGCCCATATGTATTTACATATATGTAAGTATATTTATGTACAGATGTAGAAATACAAAACATAACTATACATGGAATTTTTTCACACTATAATGCGATCTTGGACTCCGGGTCTTTAAGGTCCGGTAGCTAGGGGAATCCCCCATATTTACATATGTATATATGTGAGTCCAGATTTTGGGGTGCATTTGAATTTTCGAGTATGATGAGACGTTTATTGACCGAATCGACGCAAAACTTTGACTGTAATTCTTGTCTTGGTAATTTAAGCTCAGTGTTGCTATGGGTGACAGTCTACATACATACACTGAGAAAAAAATCAACAAAAAATTGGTTAATATTACCAAATTCAAACTTGAAGAGGGATCAATGTGATTTTTGGTTGATATTAACAATGTCATGGTTGATATTTTCAACAATGACTTAGTAATATTAACCACACTTTTGTTTACATCAAAAAAAATTGTGGTTGCCGATTTTTTCGTTTGAATACACTTATGTTCCACACAGATGCATTTTCATAACTCGGAGATATAAAAGAAAAATTTTTATTATCATTGTAACACGTTGGCGTCTGACTTGATTAGAACCCGCATCTTCTGAAAGCAAACAACAGCAAGCATCTCTGCACATTCAGCCAACGCCGTTGTACAAATTTACCCTCAAATTTTGAACTTGAATACATTTTCTTCGTCGTTTGATCGTGTTCTGCACTTCACAAAAAAAAGACTACACCGCCTCTGGCGGCATTTGAACCAGAACCCACTGGAAGCCAACAAATAACAGCAAGCATCTCTGCACGTTTAGCTAGAGCCAAACATACATATGTGTTTTCAAATGATGAACTTGAATCACACTTCTTACAATCGGCTTATTAACCATGAAAAAATCAAACCATAACTTGGTTGAAAAAAACATTGTGCTTTTCGCTCAGTGTACAGTACATAGTGCCAACAAATCATGAGATTTTTCCGTTTGTGGTGATTTCTAATCCCCACATAAGCTATTATTTATACGAACAAAACTTCATCTCAAGGATTCATTTGCAAACGATATCGACTCATAAATACCCAAGCCATTATGCTTTTTATGAACGACTTTTTAAAAAATTGTTTTGGGTAGATTAGGATTCCAAATAAATATTTATTTTTTTTTAAGTCAACTTGACAACAATAGGCGCTGATTATAATCTCGATTTCTACTTACAGAGCAGTTACTTCGAGTGCGATGACTCTGATAGTTTTTCGGAACTATCCAACTCCGATGGATTTGATGAGGATATAATGGGCGCCCTAAACAATTCTGTAGACCTGGTAATGTATACCAATTGCTACAGGGACGATGTGATGATAACTTATGATACAGTGACAACACAACAGCAATCGTGGCTAGGGACTGCCGACCAGTTGCAGCATGAACAGCTTGAAGCCAACTTCATTCGTGTGGATGCAGATTCCAATGCATCAGAAATGCTGGGCGATGATCAAGATAACAACTATGGTGACAATGAAGTCATAGCTTTTGCCCGCCAGACAGGTGCCATTAAACATAAAGAACTGCCTTCGGAACAACGCCCGCGTAGCAATGTATTAGAAAATTTCACGAGCTTTAACGAACTCCGCTTGGCGGACGACAGCGAGGAGTCGTTCATTGGTTCTGAAAATCACAAAAAAGGATAGAAGCAAGTTCAGGAAATGTGCGTTAGATCGGTAAGCAAGTTTTTACAAGCAAATTTTACAAAAAATTCGATTAGAAAAGTTTTTATATTTCACTATGGGCTAGAGCAGGGCTTCTCAAAGTTTTTACAGCTGTGGCCTCTTTGACCTAAGCAAATATACGTACATATCGGCTACCCCGTCATGGAGGTACTAAATATATAACCTACTAATACAAACTTAAACATTTGCTTATGATTAAACGTTTAGAAAATTTATTAGTATACATGGTGAAATATATATAAGGTGATGTCACTTACATAACCTCACTTTTTCTGCATGCCAATTGCGGCCATGCATTTTGGGGTAGTAGAAAAAGGGCGAAAAGATTAGGATTATTTTTACTACTTTTTGGGTATTATTTCCAACACATACATATATCAGTGGACCCCACACTAGTTAAATGAAGCTTCCATCAATAAAAATTTTTTCTGTAAACCAGTGTAATTACAGTTTCATTTTTTCGCTCAAAAGAAATTATTATTATGTATTAATTTTTATTTTTTCGATCAAAT